CCCAGCCAGCTCCGGGAAGAGCAGCCGGGGTTGCCTCGTGCCTTGGGCTTGTCCCAGGGCGCGTTGTCGACCAGCTCCGCTTCCCTCCCGCAGTGACGGTGGCCTCCAGCGAGCAGAACCCCGTCCTTGTCATCGCGGTGGTGGCCATCGCGGGGCTGACAGTGCTGGTGTCTGTGGTGATCGGCGTGATGGTCTGGAGGAGGTGAGCGGGGCCGGGGCTGAGCCGGGCACGGGCCGAGGAGCTGTGGGATGGGGGCAGGGGAGGAGGGCTGCGGCAGAGCCCGCAGCGGGGGCTGTCGGGAGCACGGGCAGCACTGACTCGCAGCGTGGGCGCTGGGAGGAACTGCTGGCTCCTCGTGCCACGGGCTGGGCTCTGCTCCGGTGCGCTGCGGTGGGAGGCTGCTGCCCGGGCAACAGTGTGCGCCGCGTTCTCGTTGCAGGCAGTGTGGGTACAGCAAAGCCAGCCAGGACGGCGACGAGGAGCTGTACTTCCACTGTAAGTGACGCCTGGCCACGCGCTGATGGGGCTGCCTGGGGACGCCCGTGGTCGTTGCTATTAGTAACCCAGCGCCCGACAGAGCATCCTTGCCTTTGACGTGTTGTCATCCTGCGTTATCCCGGAGCGGGGGCTCGGCGCAGTGAGGCTCTGGGATGGCAGTTTGACAGCTCCATACTCCAGTGTCTGTCCTCCTGCACACAGGTCACTGCCGTGCCGACGGACGGGGGGATGCTTTCAGCTTTCCACAGGGTGTACAGATTATTCCGTCAGCTTTTCACAAACATCTACATGAGGATACAGCTTTGTTTTCTGGGGCTACTCTTGATTATTGAGCAGCAATAATTTTACAGACAACAGTTGTCAAAGGAAATTCAGATGTCAGGATTGATGAGTTTATTGGATTCCTGGCATGTGCCCGTGAAGCGCACACATGCTCCTCTGCTTCCGGGAGCATTTCGGAAACAGCAGAGCCCACGTGCTGCTGGGATGCGGCTCAGCCCTTTCACCTGGCTTGGAAGAGCCTCGTGCTGCTGTTTGTTTCCAGGAAATGTGAATTAGGGCTTCGAGGAAGCCCCAGCGAGCGGGTGGCTGTTTCCCTCCGGAGCTTTGCGAGGGCTCCCGTAAGCGGGTCGGCCTCGTTCCGTGCGGCTCTCCCGGACATGCTCCCCAGCAGGGTCGCTCGCTGTGCAGCAGATGGTAGCTGCTGGTGGGAGGGACGCCGGTGCTGCTAATCAAGGGGACCTGGAACATGGCTGTTGTTCATTATTATCATTGTCTTTCCCAGAGCTCTTGACTGGAGATGATTCGGGTACTGGAGGCTTAGCGCTGTGGGTGGGCTCAGCCCGGGAGGGAGCTGCGCCGGAGTGAAGGAGCTGCTCCCCTTTAACCCGGGGGTTGTGGCAGTGGAGCAGAGTGATTTGGTTCGTTTTATCCCACAAGAAATTTCCGGGCACACTGAAAGCCGAGTCTTTTCCTTTGCTTATAGAAAGGTGGCAGGTTAGTCCTGCCAGCAGACCTGGAGGTGGATAACCTGCCGGAGCGTGTCCTGGGACAGGAGACAGGAGCTCTGCGGGGCCCTTCTCACGCGCCCTCTGTGCATTTCCTGCTTTCCTGCAGTTAAAATACCGACCAGGAGGACGTACATCGACCCTGACACTTGCGAAGACCCCATGCAGGCCGTGCACCTCTTTGCCAAAGAGCTGGATAACGCTAGTATTAAAATTGAGAGGATCATTGGGACAGGCAAGTTCCTTCTCGTGGGTGCCGTGGTCATGGGGTGGTGGTGGTGCCATGGGTGGTGGCGGTGCTGTGTGCTGTGCATGTCCCCCGTCCCGCTCCGCTCTCGCCCTGGCACATGGGGCCGCGGTGGTGCTGTGCCGCTGCTGCTGCGGTCCTGCCCAACCCACCGTGCCATGGGCGCGTGCCGGCTCTGCCGCCACTGCCCGTGGGCTCTGCCCACCTGGACGGTGTCTCCCACGTGCTGCAGACCTTTGTTCTTGTCTCGGAGGGATACGAGCTCGCAGCGGGGAGGTGGGAATGGGGCTGGTGAGTGTTTTGTTCGGGATCTCGATTTTGCATTCCCGTTTGTTTTTCTGAGGCACTGAGTACAGCCAGCAGAGTGACGCGCGGACCAGAAAGCATCAGCAATTATCTGCATCTGGGCAGTTTGACAGCAGCGTGAAAACTATTTATAAATATGTGAACTTAATGATTTATTGATTTTCATCAACTTCACTGCCTAAAACTTAAAAGCAAATTAAAATCCCCTCACTGGGCCCTAGAGCCTTAATCACTAATGTGTGCCAGAACGTGGGAAACATGATTATTCTTTGTCATTTCTTTTCCTAAAGATAAATTCAGCTGCAGAAAAAGAAGAGGTGGAGGAAGGGAAGAGGGAAGGGCTTGCCCACCCGCTTAAAGGACAGTGTTGAAGGCAAGAGGACACTGAGGAGAAGAGGAGGTTTTCTTTGTAGCTGCTGAGTGGAGCAGCTGAGACTAATCCCACATACCTGTCAGAAGCAAATTGGTGTTGGAAAAAAAATCCAGAAAAATTAGTCAGCAATACGTTTAAATATGAGGAATTTGGGAGGGCATTTGTCTTACTGCTGACCGAACAAGTACCTGGCTTTCAAATCAATAAAGCTTTTCATAGCTTCACGTTTTTTGCTGTAGAGCCAATATTGGCCTTTTGTGTTCTGCATTTGGTAGCTCCTGCTGCCGAGCGCGTGGCTGTGCCGCGCGGGATGCTGTGCCTCCGACTGCGGGAGCCCTCCTGCCCTGCGAGCGCTGTCCCGCGGGACGCGGCCCCTGCACGCGCTGAGCGGGGCAGCGGGACGGGACAGGCACCGGCAGCGTGAACCCCCCAGCCGGGGTCAATCTGCTTTTCATGAGAAAAAATGCAACATGCCCTTGAGCAGAGCGTGGAGAGAGAGAGGGAGAACGGCTTGGAGGTGTAGGAAGGGGAAGAAGAAACTCCGCTGCGCTATCACATGCCTTTAGTGTCACACGCCGGTGCCAAACTCGCCTGAAGAGCCGTGTGTGTGCTCAGCAAAGGTGGGGGAAGGTGGTGGAACAAACTCTGCGGGGGAGCTTGCAGCCGCGCGGGGCTGCGTGTGTTTCTGAGTCCAGGGGTT